TCACACACAGAAGAAGGCAATTGCAAACCACTTCTGGATCATCTGCCAAGAACGTATATGAACAGGTCCCAGTCCGAGAAAAGGATGGAAGGATCCTGTTCATATGGACCTGTCGTCAGACAGAACACTAAATAAATATATAAAAAAGTGATAGGTATCCTGTATCCTTGGGGTATTATTTCCATATCGAGTTCGGTTAATAATAAAGCCTTGAAAGTTTGAAACGCCCGTCGTATGTTTGTCTTCATATTCGTCAAGGGTAAAATCACGTGCGTTTTAAATTAAAATTTTCCATGCTCTTATCGAGATATCTCGCACACAAAGTCGTCCTACTTAAAACCTTTATATTCTATAATTGACTCTATGACGCAACAGCCTGACTTCGATCCTCGGCCTCGTCCCATGTGGGAGGTTTCTTTGTCTTTTGAAGTGTGCATTTAGGAGTAGTGAGTGACAAGCTCACTGCCTCTGCACAATTTCTACCCAATCCTGATTTGTCTGCTAGAGCCATTTAGTAGTGAATCAGGAGAAACTTGGGTGAGAATTGGCTGCTAAATTTTGCTTTCGAAATATGTCATTCGTACTCGCACGATTCTTTTACACGCCATAAATCTACGACATAGGACCGACAGCTTTACTTTTACAGTTGCGCTACGGATTTGTATCACCCTTAAAAAACGATCGACATTGGCCGGGTTTGAACCCGATAACCTTGGGTCCAGTGGGGAGCACACCAACCACTAGTCCACCGAGGCAGACTTATCTTCTATAAAAAATAGCAAAAATAACTTCTTATTCCATCTGTTAGCAGATAAAAATTTTCTGTTTTTTTATCTATGTTCATTATTGATTGGAAGCGAATGAATATTGATTAATTCAACAAAATATTTGTTATACAACACCGGATGATGAATTACGTACATGTGGGAGAAAACGTTTCAAGTCTGCTTTAATGTCGTACATAGTTTGACCTTAATGTTCCTGTAGGAGATGGGAAAACGTAAAAAGATCCTGAACTGAATGGTCTTAGCTTCGTCGTGAACGTACTTTTGAACTAATACTTTCATTCCCCAAATATCTGAAATTGTTCGCGTTTTCAAACGAATTGTTAACTCTCATTGTATTATGAATTTTTCTACGTTCTGGTGACGAGAGTGTAATCTCACTTAAATTTTAGACCAATCGTTTAATCCAATTTATACTCCTCCTTCCTAATAACCTTCATGAAGTCCGCCCAAATTAATTTTTCGATAGCTTTGGGGGCACCCTATAGTCGGAAGTGTTACGTCACTTCCTGCCTGTTTACCCTTCTCAACAATTTTCGTCTTCGCCCTCTGCGAGTTGGCTTCATTCGCCGTGAAATATGCAGACGATTGCGCTCGAGGGCTCCTAGACAGTCGCCCGCCGTCCCAAGACCGCCACACAAACCGACACTTCCATTATATTTCTTGCATTCCTTGGTCTCCTATCATCCACCCCTGATGTCGCACATTCCGTCCCTACAAAATATTCTTTAAGAGTAAGAGTGAGACAAGAATAATAGTAAACTTTAGCCAAATTTTTAAGTCTACAACTGGCAGACAGCTTACAAATGTTTTTATGCAGACCCTAAATATAAACCTACTGAAACACACACTTTCCAATGTTGTATTTGTTAATTCTCTTCATGAGATGATAAAGTTTCGTCATATTGTGATAAATATATATTTGTTTAAATCTTAAATATTTAAATGTTAATTATAGTAATATTTTAATATTTAATAGGAATTTTATTGTGATTAGACTGACAAGATTTAAACAAATATAAACAAATAAACAAATTCTCTTCATGTTAAAATAGCTTAAGAAGGACTTTATAAATTTTTGACAAGTTAGAATGAATGTTTTCGTAACAAATATAATAGGCCCATTTCTATGTATTTCCGTCGTCCGCTGGTGTCAGATGGGCGAGACAGGATTATAGATGTATGAGGGAGGGAGAACTGTTGATTTATTGAATAAACAATCACAGACAGCCGACAAAAGTCCCTTGGATTGAAGATTCAATGAGAGGCTAACAACCATCCACCTTAAAATAAACAAGTTAGGAAACGTACGCATAGCTTGACTATTCTGGTGCGATCGCAAGAATTTTTCTTTTCTGGCTCTAACACGTGACAGGGTTGATGACGTCATGTGATTACGGCACTGGATGAGAATTTTCCATCTAGTCACTTAGACGCGCAGAAAATCATGCAGTTATCATGTGGTGTCCTTTTATATTTTCCGATTTCAACTAAAATTGGAATATGTCTACAAATTTTAGTGAAATCTACCAATCAAAGTATCAGGTTATGAATACGTTAAACAGGTATCGGATTTAGTAGATACATTGTCAGGAAATTAGCAACGAAAATCAGATTTGGAGCAAATTACCTTCATAATATTAAAAAGACCTGTTTGTTTGTGTGGCCGGTCACAGTGGCCGTGAGTTCGCTTTACTGTTTGTTACGTTT